GGCGGGGCAGGGCGGGATCCCTCCGCGGCCGGCCCACTTCCGGCTGCGTGGGCGCGGAAGCCGCGCGGCCGGAGCGTCCGCCGTGCGGGGTGTTGGTGCGCGTGATCGCGGGTGCGTGTCCGCGCCCGCCCGGGGCAGCATGTCGGTGGCCGGGCTGAAGAAGCAGTTCTACAAGGCGAGCCAGGTCAGCGCCCCCGGGCTCGGGCTCCTCGGCTGCAGCCGTGCGGCGACCCCGGAGCTGCGGGGAGCCGGGCGGCGCGAGTGTGCGTGTGCAGTCCAGATGTGCCAGGGGTGCGTGTGCATGTGTGGGTGCGTCTGTGGGTGCGTGTGCAATCCAGATGTGCCAGGGGTGTATGTGTGTGTGTGTGCGTGCGCGCGCGCGCCTGTGTGGGTACGTGTGCAATGCAGACGTGCTGTGGGTGCGTGTGGGTGCCTGTGTGTGATCCAGAAATGCCAGGTGTGTGATCCACACGTGCCTGGGGGGGTTTGGGTGTACATGTGTGCTGTATGTGATCCAGTAGTGTAAAGTGCGTGTAGATATGTGTGTGTGTGATGCAGAAATGCCATGGCTGCATGCGTGTGTGATGCAGAAGCACAAGGTGCTTGCATGCATTTGTGTGCAAGCTCTGGAGGTGCTGGGTGTGTGTCTGCATGCGTGTGGAGCTGTGATGCTGAGGTCTTTTCAGCGAGCTATGTTTGGCTTGTGTGTCGCTGCCTCCTGGCAGGCAGGGACCGTCCTCTGCAGAAGCAGTGGGGGAGGTGGAAGGTGCCTTCCTGGCCCAGGGGTCACCCCCACTCTCCTAGCCTGCTCTTGCAGCCCCTCCGTGCACAGGACCACCCTGGCTTTCTGGGGAAAATGATGTGCTTGGCTGTAGGCTTCCTCTCCAAGGAGGCAGCAGCTGAAACAGATGGCTGCTTCTTGGCCGTACAGCCACGTCTTCTTTCTTTCCCTTCATTCCTAAATGCTTTCTAGCCACCCTTGCTTGTTGCTTCCCTTCCCATCTGTCCGGTCTCTTTTCACTAGGCACTCGCTTGTTCAAGAAGTGAAGGAAGGGGGTGGAATAAATGACCAGGGGATGTGAATTTCCAGTTCAGGGGTTCAGTGTGTATTGTGTTTTCTTCTAAAATGAGATTAATCACGTTGCAAGACTGTAGCAGAGACTTGTGTGCACAACTGAGACAGTCACGGCATTTGTTACGTGGTCATGGCTGAAATGCTGGCATATTCCTTTATTTTGCATGAGAAGGCATAGTGGAGAGAAGTTGTCCACAACCACATTCAGTAGCAATGTTTTTGGTTCTCCTGGCCGAGGCAGAAATTAAAAATACTCTGGTCTTCCTAAACACGTGTAATTCCTTGTCAGTCAGGGATCAGATGTGGCATATGCCACTTCAAATTGCTGATCATATCCACAAAGGAAGCATTAAGATGTCAGTTACCTGTTTTTAAGCTCTTCATTTTTCCTGTGGTTTTATGTCATTACCGTGCCTTCTCATTTATTCTTAACTCTGGAAGATGACCAGGAAAGTACTTCCCGTCATGTGAAGTTTTCCTATGGTTCTTCCCATGTCTAATGTGTTTTTCAGACTTATGCTGTGTTTCTTTGTGGTCGCACTAGCCACATTTCCATTGGACCTGTAAGTGCTGAGATGTGTATTAGAGTGGCTCTCTGCTAGTTCTGCCCTGTAAGTTGCATTGCTAAAAGCTACTTTTCAGAGTTGCAAGTATCGAATGAGAATTTACTTCTGTCTTAAATACCTGTCTTCCTCCAGAGAGATCTTGCATACGGTGTAGGAACTGGTTTTGTAATGGCCACTTTGTGAAGGAGTAGTTTTCTGAGCAAGAAGTACAACTTAAGAATAATGGACAAGAAAACTCCAAATGATCTAAGCAAATGGGGTGGTCGGTGACTCTCTTTTTTTCTTGACCACTGAGTTATAAATGTCTTAATTTTAAAAACAGGGAGTTGGAGGGGAAGGGCTATGAAGGATCCAAATGGAATGAAATTCAGGGTGAAAGATGGGTTATGGTTAGGAATAATGTTTCTCGTTATGCTTGGGGTCCAGGAAAGCACAGCAGCAAACTGCAGCATAACCCCAGGAAATTCTCCCTTCCTTGCTTAGTAGCTGACATCAGGAACTGGAAAGGATTTTGTGGTGCACACAAGTGACACAATCCAAGCTGTCGGCCCCTGTGGTTTTGTGTGCATGCATGAGACAGGAAATGGCAGCCTTAAGATCCTGTGGAAAACTGTCAGATAGGCACATTTTTAGTGGTTTATTAGCAAAACAGAACTATTGGAAATCTCCCTTCCTGAGGCAGGTAGGAGCAGTGGGCCTTGAGCTTAAATTTGCAGCTGCGCCTTGCATGAGGGATCCCTTCCCACTGATGTGGTGATGCACAGTTCAGTGATGCTCACAACAGCCTAATAAAAGGGAGATTGGGTTTGTGAATCCCTCTTCCCCATTCTCTTGGCTGCTGCTGACCTTCCCTGCCAGAGAGGCATTATCCCTGTGGCTTATTAATTTGTAATTATCTCAGGAATGCATTAAGGAACAGTGAAACTTTGTGGGGAGGAACACCCCTCTGGCTCTCCCTGTGCAGCATACACGCCCCATTTTAAATTTAAACCAGTTGAACATTGTGTTGCTCTGTCCAGAGTGTGCGTGTGTTTTCCAGGCAGAAAAGCTGGAGCACTTCAGTGAAGTGCAGATGAATCCAAGTCTGTTTGCTAAGTGGCATTCCCTCCTTTCTTGGCTACGGTTATGAAACGGCATTTTGCTTATATGGCAAAACAAAGGGCTGGATTCCTGCAATCCTCACCCCCCTCCATGCTCCAGGAAAACCAACCTCTTGATCATGGACTTCTCTCTTTTTTAAACAATAGTCTAAGGGGAAAGGCCTCACTGGGGATTTCTTGTTGGAGTATTTTACTGTTGCAAATCCTCTGTGATGTGTTAGCAGGGCAACCGGAGGTGAAAGTTTGCTTCTGAGTCAAAAGCAACATGTTTGGAAAGGCTAACTCCATCAGTCTGGATCATCGGGGAGACTTCATCAAGTGAAGTCACCTGAACTGAATTAAATTTGCGTCTCTGTCTTGGACTGGTGTGTGTTTATGCATACAAGGTTTGTAGAAGTACTGGTCAAGGTTTTTGAGCATTCATGTAGGCAGCAAACAATAGCCAGAAAGCGAAAACTTCGGCCCATCCTGGGAGGAGTCAATTCCGTTGTTGTTGTTGTTGCTTTTTTGTAATATCTTGTCTGTGTCCAAGGGCAGTAGAAAACCAGAAGATAAGGGCTGCATCTGCCTGGGTCGAGAGGCCTTTCTGGGATCTGGCTGCTTGAGGATTTGGAAATGATGTGCTCTGGAGAAACTTAGTTTAGCTTGAGGCTTCCTGCCAGCATTCGTGGTAGGATTGCAGAAGCAAGTTGCGCACTTCGTGAAGCTGAGGGAGTCTGTGCCCTGCTTAGCTCTTTCTGAGGATAGGCCCTGGTAATCTGTCAGGTGCTAGAGCCACTGAGTCGCTTAGAGGCTCCTTTAGGATTTGAGCCAAATGCGTCCAGTTTCTGTTGTGCTGCCTCCTTCTCCCCTTCCATGCACAATCCCCACCCAGTCCTCCTGTCCTCCCCAGAGGAGGAGGCTCCACAGGCTGATTAGAATGACTTTTTGGCTCCCTTGGAGGACTTGGGCCTTTCCCATTTGTGGGTTTGGCAGCAGCTTTCCTGAAGTGTCATATTCAGTTCCAATTCTGTTGTTAACTGGGGCAAAATGTATAAAGAATCCAGGCCTGCGAAGGAACGTACCTATCTCTCTCTCTCCCTTTCTCAACCCCCTGAACTGTGTGCATGGGCATGGGATTCCCACCTCCTTTCTGCGGGACGGGCTGCCAGATTGTCGTCCCCGGGAGTCTAACAGAGCGGGGTGGTGACGGGGGGGGGGGGGGGTTTTATTCCCTGCTCTGCTGCCTTCAGTTTGATACCTGTGGGTCCACGCTTTCCATAGGGGGCAGCTGCTGAGCATTCCCACAGCAGAAAGTGACACCATCGGTGGATGGACTGGATCAGACCCGAGCCAGAATCTAGCCCTGATTATGGCCAGCACTGCATGATTTGGAGGAAAGTGTAAGACCCCTGCGATGGCTGCTGTGGGATTTCCAGGCCCCCTGAGCCAGTTTCCACAGCATTGGAGAGACCAGAGAAGCATGAGACTTCCTATCCCTTCCACAGCTTGTCCCTGATTCCCTATTCCCCTGGAAAAGCTCCCTGCACTAGACCCCTCCTGGGGGCCTGTCGGTGCCGGAAGGTACACTGCTGGATCCCTCCTTGATTCCTGATCCAGCCTAAGTAGGGCTGACCATCCTTTGCTTGGGCAGAAGATATTGATTTTTCTCTGAATGAGGCTGGCAGCTAGCTCCAGTCTCAAAAGACTTCGAGAACAGGTTTGGCAGGCTGTGGGGTCAGCGCGGAGAGCCATAAGCCTCGCCAAACTCGTCTGTCCTTAAAAACTGGCTCACCAGCTCTGCAAAGAATGGCTTGTTCCTATGGTGCAGGAGGGAGACCTTGCTTTCCCCCATCTAGCCCCTTCCTCCTTGAGATGCCTGTGACCTTCAGACACGGCAAAGAACATCTTTGGCACCTGCAAGCAGTTTCAAAAGCGGAAACGTGGTGTGAGAAGGCACCAGTATGAGGTACAAGGTAGACTAACTCTTGTCCCCCTCCAGGGCTTGGAAGTGGGGTGGCTTATAGGGCTGCTTCTTCACTGAAAGGGCATGAGAAGCTCAGCAACCTTCTCCTGTACATGTTCCCCAAAAGGAGTGGGGATCACTTGACACGCAGGCTTTCACTCCTCATGTTTGGTGTCTGATCTCTGAAGAGACTCTCAAGGCATTGACAGCAAGAGATTTTTCTTTCGGGGCAGTCTGAGCCCCAGCATCCTGCTCCACAGCCTGACGATAGTGACTGCAGTGAAGAGACCTCCAGATCGGCTCTCGCGGGTGTATGCTTGCCAGCCAGCTGTTATCGAGTCCCAACGACTTCCTTCCCACTCCACTTGGCAACCCCGGCTCTGCAGCGTGTGGCATGTGTACAAATGCCTGGGACAGATGAATCCTGGCCCTCGGCAGGCAGCACAAAGATGGGTCTGTGGGAAGGGGAGAGAATGCAGCTGACAGGAGGTGGGTAGA